CGTAAACGAGGGAGAGGAGGGGCCGTCGTGGAGGTGGTGGCGGGAGGGCCACCCTAGGATCACAGTCGGGAAACCCAGGCGCTGGGCTGGGCGGGGGGCGGAGCCTGTCACCCGCCCTCCGAAATGCGGCTCAAACTCTTTTCTTACAACTAAGGCCCAGGGAAGATTCACCTGCAGAAGCATTAAAGGGTGTGGCCCAGGGCTCCGCAAGCATTTTTCGGGTAAATAAACAAATAAACACAACATGGCCTGGTCAAAACAGAGTCAGTCTTAATTTGAATTTTTAATTTTTTGGCGGGAGGTAATTAGGTTGGTTGGTTTGCTTGCTTGCTTGTTTATTTGATGGAGGCGCTGGGGATTGAACCCGGGACCTTGTGCAGGTGAGCATGCGCTCTACCACTTGAGCTATACCCTCCCTGCTTGGATTTTTAATTTTTATGTAAGACAAGTCAGCTTTCTGATGCACATGAGAGTCTAATAATTTAGAACGTGTAGACAGCAGCGCAGCGAGGACCCTGGGTTCTAGACCAAAGGTCGGAAGGGGCCCCTTTACCTCTGATGGACGCACCCACGTGATTCTGTCTCCGCGTACAAGGAAAAGTGGTGGCTCTTCCCATGAGAGGACACTGCCCCAGGCGAGACTCTTCTGTGCCGTCCTAGAGCCCTGGAAATTAGTGGTTCCTAAAGTGGGGTCCCAGACCAGCAGCATCCCTTGGGAACTTGTCAGAGATGCAGTTTCTTGCCCCTCCCCAGCCCGGCTGAATCAGAAACTCGGGGATGGGCCCCGCAGGCTGGTGTGAACCGCCCTTCCGGAGACCCTGGCCCAGAGCTGAAAGTCTGAGCCCCTCCGTTCTCAGCCCAGGGCCCGTTAACAAAGTGACTTACTAACTCCCAGGGACATTCTGCTCCAGCAGTCAAGACAGTCTTTGGGGGTGGCCTCAGGGCCCTTTTAGGAAATTCTAAAGAGCCTGGCACGTCGTCTCAGCGTAGAAACAGGAATGTCAGAATGTTGGGGTGTCCGGAGGGGTGTCCGCGGCCCTGGCTGCTCCCTCAGGGGCTTTCACTTACTGTAATATGCATTTGTTTCTTCCTTTCTGAACTCACTGAGAAGTACTCAGTGCTTATCTACTGTGTGTGTCACCCGACACATGCTGGGTTCTGAGGACACGTGTGAAGAGGATGGACACCCTCCACCCTGCCCCCACCGCCCCGTGGAGATCAGAGTCGGGCAGGAATTGGGGGTGGGGACGTTAAACCAGCGACGAAGCGGCAAGCTCAGGGACTCTGCCCAAGGTCCTGGCCGCCCTGTGGTGGGGGTGACCTGTGGGATGCGGGGGTGGGGGGCGGTGAAGAGAGTTCCAAGCAACAGGAACAGCATCAGGCCCTCAAAGCAAGACAGCTTGAGGACACGGAAGGGTCCCAGAGTCCCAGAAATAGAGAAAGGGGAAGGAGAGGCCGAGGCGAGGGCTGACCGGCTGTCCTGGGAAGGACAGTGGCGCACAGTGTTATCCTGGGCAGCCGGGTGCTGAGCAACCAGAGCACATTTTCAGGTCCAGCCTCAAGGGCTTCTCCCCGCAACCTAGTGACACGAGCAGAGAAGGTCCAACTAGGTGCCCCGTTCCATAGAGGAGGCTGCTGGGGCTCAGAGAGGTGAAGTTCCTTTCCCCAAATCACCCAGCAATCAGGGCTGTTTTCACCAGACTAAGTCTGTTTAAGTTCTGTCTTTCTCCCACATGATGGGTGCCTGCTGACGGGAGAGCCAGACGAGGTCTGTGCGAACCGCCCACTCCTTCATGACTAACCCGCCGCTGCCCTGCCTCCCTCCGGGCTGGAGCCAGATGCACGGCGACTTCCGGCCCTGCGCCGACAGCCTGGCCCGGGAGGCGGCAGGCCGGACCGAGGATGGGGGGCGGGGGCTGGGCAATCTCGTGTGTCCTCGTCGTCAGGTGTCCTCTGGGCGTGACTAGTCCCGCCTCATGTCCCCTCCTTTGCTCTGGTGCCTCTGCTCGTGGGTGGTCACCTGCCTTCCACTCTCAATCCTGTCCGGATTCATAGACTTAATTTTTTTAGAACAGTTTCAGATTTACAGAACAATTGAGCAGACAGTAGAAAGAGTTCCCTTACACATCACCCCTCGTTTCTCTTACAAAGATCTTACACGGATAAGGAACAGTACTTACAATTAATGAACCAATATTGATACATTATATTTTTCCTACTACTATTGTGTTCCCATCAATTTCTCCCTTCGTATATGTTCTAGACACGTTTATTAACTAAAGTCCATACTTTCCTCAGATTTGCCTTAACATCCTTTCTGATCCAGGATTCCATATCACATTTAGGGACCTTCTCAGCTCAAGATGTTTGGTTCAGGTTACACAAAGCCTTGCTTAAAGTTTTCCGAGAGCTTTTTTTCATTCGGCAGGTAAAACTTCATGACATCTATAACACCAAGTCTGAATCCCCTCTGCACCTCAAGGCATACTCAGGATCTCCTCACAGGCAAGACTTTGAACTTCTCTCATTCTCACCAACCTCCCTGTTCTCTTACTGCTGGGACTGAAATAACTGTGAGAATTTACAATGTACCGCCCACCTGACCTATCAGAGTCAAGCCTACCTGTGAAAGGGTATGATTAGACACATCATGCAGAGCCTGGGCACTCACAGAGGTTAAGACAGTGGCTGAGGGTTCACAGCCAGGCAGCAGCAAGGCAGGATGAAAACCTGCCCACGTGCCCACACTCTTTCCCACACCTCTCGGGGGCCTCCGACTGTCTGCCTTCCTGAGCACACGGCTCCTCGCCTCCCCTGGCCTTCTCTCCCATGCACCACCACCCTGCTGCCCCTGGCTGTTTGGTGCCATGGCTCCCTATTACTTAAAGAATTCAATTCCTGGAAAATCAAAGTGCAGGTCTTTGTGTAGAAGAGATGCTTTCTGGTTACAATGACTTCAGGAAGCAATTACATTAAACCTGTGTCATGCCGTGCTTTAGCAGTGAGTGAGACATGATTTTTGATATCTGGCTTTTTATGTTAGACAAACGTGAAGCGCAAATTTTAGATAATGTCTTTGATTTTTCCACTTAACCTATCTACTCCACAACAGAATATTCTAGATCATAGACTTTTGGAATATGAATCCAAAGGAAGCAATGTCTTTCCCAAATTACAAGTTTTGGTAAATCAATCCCATACTCCATAACAGAATGAAATTATGTCACATAATGACAAATTTCATCTTCACCTCAATACTCGGCAATGCAATAAAAGCATATCGTGTACTACTTAAATAATTATCACTGAAAAAAATTAAACATCACGATTATTCACGGTGAATTGTAATTATAGCTGAGCAGTTATTTTAGACATATTAAGCTTTTAAAGGCTTTTAAATTTTTAATTTATTTTTAATTTTTTAACTTAATTTAATTTATTGGGAGGGGGAAGTAATTAGGTTTACTTACTTATTTATTTTTTAGGGGAGGTTCTACGGGTTGAACCCAGGACCTCCTGCATGCAAAGCATGTGCTCTACCACTTGCGCTATACCCTCCTCCCACAAAAGCTTTTACAATGATACAATTTCCTTCTTCCTTAAGTTAAATGCAATAGAGCAATCTTAGAAATCTAAACGGTGTCTCTGCTCAAACATTTCAAGAAGAAATGCCAATCCTTCTTAAATTCTTTCAAAAAAACTGAAGAGGAAGGAACACTTGCAAACTCACTTTATGAATCCATACTTACTCTGATACCAAAACCAGAAAAAGACATCTTTGTCTGACAAGAAAACTACAGACCAATATCCCTGATGAACACTGATGTAAAAGTCCTCAACAAAATACATCACATTAAAAGGATCATATACCATGATCAAGGGCGATTTACCCCAGAGATGCAAGGATGATCCAATATATGATAGTCAATTAATGTGATACACCACATTAACAGAATAAAGGATAAAAATCACATGATCATCTCAATACATGAAGAAGTGTTTGACAAAATTCAACATGCTTTGATGATTAAAAAATCCCTCAAAACTAGGAATAGAAGGAAAGTATCTCAACATAATTAAGGCCATGTATGAAAATCTTACAGCTAACATCATACTCAAGGATGAAACACTGAAAGCTTTTCCTCTTAGATCAGGAACAATACCAGGATGCCCACTTTCTTAACACAGTCCTGGAAGTCCTAGCCAGAGCAATTAGGAAAAAAAAAAAAAAGATCCAAATCAGGAAGAAAGTAAAATTGCCCGTCTGCAGATGATATGATCTTATATACAGAAAACCCTAAATAGTCCAAAAAAACCATGTTAGAATTAATAAATGAATTCAGTAAAACTGCAAGATACAAAATCAATGTCCAAAAATCAGTTTTGTTTCTATACACTAACAAAGACCATCTGAAAAGGAAATCAGAAAAAAAAATCACATTTACAATAGTACTACAAAGGAATAAAATACTTAGGAATAAACTTCAATAAGGAGGTGAAAAATTTTACTGAAAACTACAAAAAATTAAAGAAAGAAATTAAGGATGACACAAACAAATGGAAAGACAGCCTGTGTTCATGGGTTGGAAGATTTAATATTATTGAAATGTCCATAGTACTCAAAGTGATTTACAGATTCAAAGCAATCACTATCAAAGTCCATAAAGGCACTTTGTTTTATGGAAATAGAAAAACAATTCTGCAATTCACATGGAATCATAAAAGATCACCAGAAGCCAAATCAGTCCTGAGAAAGGATAACAAGCATCTTAACTTGATTTAAATGTATTATGAAGTCACTGAAACAATGTAGCAGTGGCATAAAGACAAGACCTGTAGACCAATGGAACGGAACAGAGAACCCAGAAATAGACCCATGCGTATATGCTCAACTGATCTTGGACAAGAATGCCAAGAATATACAATGGAGGAAAGATACTCCATTCAACAAATGGTGTTGGGAAAACTGGATATCTACCTAAAAAGGAACAAAACTAGACATTTATCTTACACTTTACACAAAAAACTCAAAATGTCTTAAAATGAGACGTGAAACTGTAAAACTACTAGAAGAAAACATAGAGGGAAAGCGTCATGATATGTGTCTTGGCGACAATTTCATGGGTATGACACCAAAAGAACAAGCAACAAAACCAAAAATAAGCAGGTGGGACTACATCAAACTGAAAAGCACAGCAAAAGGAACCATCAACAGGGTGAAAAGGTAACCTATGAACTGCGAGGAAATGTCTGCAAACCATGCATCTGATAAGAGGTTGATCTGTAAAATATATAAGGAACTCCTA